GAGTAGGACATGTAGCATGAGTAGGACATGTAGCATGAGTAGGACATTTGGCCCCTCAAGCCTTCTCTGCCATTTAAAAGGATCATGACTCTTTGTCATAAGCCCAAGGCTGCACTGAAACTGCTGCCTGATGACGAACGGTTATGGGAGTCTGTAAAATAGGAATTCAACCAGACTGGTTCTGGTAAAATTAAAAGCTATCACAGATGTATATCTTTTTCTCTTCAGATGTACTTCATGCTTAACTATACTGCCACTTAATTAGCATTTGCCTCAAAAAAAAAATGTTGATCTTGAATTTATAATCGTGTAGTAAATCTTCCACAGAATGATGGGCTGTGACAGCCCATCAGCAGCAATTTCAAAGGGAAAGCCTCTATCCATAACATTAACTTTCCAACAACAAACAAGATTCTATGCAATCATCGTATTATTATTTCTCAAAATAATTTTCAAAAGCAACAGTTTAAAGATAAAATTAGTTTGTGATAGCAGGATAAATTTGTATTTGTGTAATAATACATAAGCCATACATAATTAGGATGCCAAGGTCCCTCAAGGGAATGGTTTTAAATTTATTCTACTAATCAGAACATCAGAACAAAGGAAAATGCAGGATCTAAGTGAAGCTGCAGGTCATCTGGCCAGCCCAAAAAATCAAGCTCCATGCAAGCAATGATTTCCTTTGTTATCTACAGTGTTTAATTCTCGCTTAAATGTTTCAATATTATCTGCTTCCAAATATTTATCATTTTCATAGTGAAAAGATACATTTTCACATCAGCAGATCCCAGATCACTGAGTTGGGTTTACATTTTGAATGGTTTTGTGGGCGTGAAAATAGGTTTCATATTTTCAACTAGAAACGTCCTTTGTTTTTGCATCGGTTTTCTGGGTGTGAGCAACATTATCAAGGCTGAATTTAGTTTACTTTAGTTGTCTGGAGATGATTTGTTGACCTGCTGCAATTTTGAATCAGGGACTAATGTTCTACATGCATTTTAGGAGTGTTCAAGAGACATTAGAAAATCATCAGATGATCCAGAAAAAAACTCTGGTTTCAAAGAAAAGCACTAAGACCAGGAGCTTTCATGCATGATAAGGATTTTGTAAAGGTCAAAGTTCAAACTCAGAATAACAAGGCAATTTCTTGGATCTCATAATATCAGCAATGAGCCATGACCTCAAAATATCAATGAAGCTTGGGGGTAAAGCGAGAATGGTCTACCGCCAGTTGTCCAATGTACAAGCCCATAAGACTGACTCTCCACTGGAGCAGGATTGATAAGACTTGAAATAAAAGTGGAAATCTAATTCCCACACAAGCTCAGGTAATGCTGGAAGCCTGTGGGTCTCCAGGAGAATGGGCTATCACTGGCTTCAAGCACCTCCCTGGCCGTTACACATTCCCAACCTGGTGATATCTGGATGTCAGTCTGTCCACTGACCACTGTGCAGGCTCCCCGTCTCTCTCCATCCCAGCCACTACTAATTGGTTGTGGCCAGGATTGCGCCGTTAACTCCAGTATCTGTTTACCCATTTTTCTCCTTGATTACATACACATTTTTAAATTAGAATCATAGAATCCCTACAGTGTGGAAGCAGGCCATTTGGCTCATCTAGTTCACAGCAACCATTGAAAAGCATCCCACCCAGACCCACCCTCTACCCTATCCCTGTAACCCTGCATTTCCCATTGTTAACCCATCTAGCCTGCACAAAATCTGGACATCATGGGCAATTTAGCAAGGCCAATCCACCTAACCTGCGCATTTTTGGACTGTGGGAGGAAACTGGAGCCCCAGGAGGAAATCCATGCAGACATGGGGAGAATGTGCAAACTCCACACAGTCAGTCACCTGAGGGCAGAGTTGAACCCAGGTCCCTGGCACTGTGAGGCAGCAGTGCTAATCACTGAGCCACCGTGCTGCCATGTATGCTTTCAATATGGTTTCTCCACAAAGGTAAACAGCAATTCATCCCCAACCACCTCATTCCAAGGTGAAACTACATTGGTTCAGTTCTGCAGAATACATGCAGCTGATTTCTTCAATAGCTTTTCTTGTGCTGCTATTCTTTCAGTTGGCAATCTGGAAACTAGCCTCCCTTTACGTTTTTTTCCTGGCATTTATGCTTTGAATAGAGAGACCTTATCCTGGCAGCAGAGTTACTGAGTCAGGATAAAATTTTGTTGAGGCATCTGGAGCTGGGATAAAGTGGGATGGTTAAAGGAGTGGAAACATAAAGCGCATCTCCCTAAAAATAAATTGTTGTGAGATTCCAATTAAGACAGTGCTAAAGGTGGAAGCTATCTTTGAGAGTCTTCTTGAATGTAAGCACAGAGAGAGCAGTTTGTATTATTCGGCCGTGGTTCGTTTTGGTGTTGGTGTACACTGCCAGACTTTTAAACTTGTTGCTTTCAAGAAGAAATCAAGTTCCTTAACAGTACAGCTGTAAAGCAACAGGTAGAATGCCAACTTAAAGCAATAATATGGCAACATAACTTTGGAAGTTTAATTAACTTTATGACACCATCACAACAGGGAAGGTTCAACAATAACAAATTCCTAATTTACTTGTGAAGTTACTTCATCATGCAATAATAAAAATGTTGACAATTATCAGGTTACATTATCATCAAATCAATCCAACCATTCCACCACAATACTGACAAATAACCATAGTATTCAAAAAAAGGTCACTTGTTTGCTAGTTAGATCTGTCTGTGCTGTATATTACAGTCCAAGCTTTGAACAAGAAACAAACTATGGCTGAAAGCCACAATTTTACATACTGCGCATGACATTCTATATGACTGACATTCTTACCCGTGGAAACACAGATGAGCAAGTATGAAAAGGAACTGTGAAACGTTAATATTTCAGTTAACATTTCAGGAGAGTTGTATACGCTGCAAAAGAGAGAAAGAGACATGTTACACTGTTGCATTTTGTTTTAAAGAAACCAAATTTTAATCAACTTTGCTATTGCAGGGCTGCAAAACTGATAAAATAACTTGACTGCACTTGTTCAGTGACTACACCTCCTGTTGTAACAGGCAGCAATAGTGACGACAAGACAATTTCCTTTTGCAAAACTCGTGCTTTATTCAAAATAATTTCAAGCGCTTTTCCATTTCTTTCATGTAACTTGCTTTTGCGATGTGGATTATGCTGAACAAGCAGTGTTTATGGTGGGACTGGAATCATGCGTAAGCCCAAACAGACAGAAATGGCAGGTTTCCTGATGATGTTAGTGAATAAGTTGGATTTTTAATTACAATCTGACAGTATTCACAGCTATTTCCTTTGGCGCCAGTTCACAAAATAACAAAATTTATTCAATGAATATCGTGGAGATTTGAACTCATAACCTTGGCAGTAGCTTGTTCACCACTATACTGGAGTACACATTTTTTTTGTAGCAAATCATAGCTACTTTCTCAGCACATAGCACCCACAGCTTATCAGTTTCTCTTTTTCTGCATCATCTTTCTTCATGTTGACTAAACTGTTTGGAGATCCATGTAAAACTCTCTTCCACACACTGCAGTGTTATTCAACATATACTTTACTGTATGTAAACTGCACGCTCCTCCTCTAATTTTATTTCAGCAATCATGTTCCTGCAAGTCCAAATTAGGTTAAGTTCTAATTCTCTACCTACATCCAGATAATTAAAAGATTTTTCACTGTATTTGCGCACTCACATATCCTGGCATACTCAGAAGTAGGCCAGTTGGCCACTGAAGCCTGCTCTGTCATTCAATAAGTTTGCATTGATATGTTTGCATTCCAATTTCCATCTTCCCATCTAACCCCAATAACTTCTGATTCCCTCGCCTAACAAGAATCTATCTATAGCCGTCTTAAAAGTATTCAATATTCCCACCCCCACCTCCACTCAAGGCAGAGGTCCAAAGGCATGCAACACTCTGAGAGAAAACAAAATTCCCCTTAACTCTGTCCTAAACGAACAACCCTAATTTTAGACTCACCCATAAGTATAACCGTTCTTTCCACTTCCACCTTCTGAAGATCTTTCAGGATCTTACAGGCTTCAATCACACCTCACCCTTCTACACTTGAGCAAATTCAAGCCCAATTTTTCTTCACTCCAGACTTTCTCTTTTCATGTACTGTAAAATGAACATTCTCCAGGTCTTTGTGAAAAAATATCATCGGAAGAGAAAACTATTTCGCATTGTGAATCCAATCCTAAAAATCTTGGCACATGAAGGAAATGGAGATGATCCAAAACCCTGTCCCTTTTTTAAGGCAGGCAGCTACAAATTCATCAGGTAAAATAAGGTCACTAAAAAACAAACAAAGCACTAGAGTTTGCTTCCAGAAGGATAAAGGTGAAAAGAGGAGATATTCTGTTGAACTTGTATAAAGCATTGGTTAGACCATAGTTCTGGAGTACTGTGATTAGTTCTCCTCTCCATATTATACAAAATGAAGGTGCAAAAAAGATTTATTGGAATGATTTGAGGACTAAGATCTGACACCTACCAGGAAAGGCTGAACAGGATGAAGGCTTTTTCTCCAGAAAAGGGAAGAATAAAGGGTAAATCTGATAGAAGATTATAGAAGAGTTTTATAGGGCAGAAGTAAAAAAGATGGGGGCAAGACAAAAAGAGGCAACAGCAATAAGATAGTCACTAATAAAATGAGCAGGAAATTCAAGAGGAACTTTTTTTACGAACAGAATTGTCACAATATAGAACTCTCTATCACAGGAATTAGTTGGGATGGCCACCACAGATCTGTTTTAAGGAGAAGCTAGATAAGCATAGAAGGGGGAAAGGTGTAGAGGGTTCCTCTTGATAAGGTTAGATGAAGATTGTTGGGAGAAAGCTGGTTTGGATCAAAAGAATGGGCATGGACCTTTAGGATGTAAAGGAATGTTGCTGCTTCATTTGAACTTCATCTCAAGGTGAAATCTACAGATGGATAAGTAATTGACTGAAATAGAAAATTGAGAATACTTGTTAGAGGAGGAAAATGATGAGTGGCATGTCCCAGGAATTGATGTTGCTGCTTCTTGTTCAAAATTTTAATTCAAATTGCTTGGATTTTTAGATGACACCAAATTTGAGACAGCAGAGTTGAAACTGATGGAGCAAAGAAGGAATGACAAAGTGAATTAATTTAAATACATAAGTGGTTGGTATAGGAGCAGGTAAAACTTAATATCGACAAACTTAGTGATTTACCTAGGTAAAAAAGTAAGTGATACGTGGTACCAAAAAAGCTAAGTGTTACTTTGACTAGAGATACAGGGAGATAATCTTCTTGGAACTCAACCTGTCCACTTTGGAACAGCATCAACAACCTAAACAAAGTACTGAGCCATAGAGGTCAAAATATAGAATAAAAGCAGAAAGTGCTAGAGAAACTCAGCAGGTCTGGCAGCATCTGTAGAGAGAAACAAGTTAACATTAGAGTCCAATAAGATTCCTCTTCAGAATTGAAGAGATGTAGAAAAGTAATAGGGAGGTCCACTGTGGAAAAAGATGGAAATGATCAAGTGGAATGAAAGGAAGGATCAGGGGAAAGTTAAAGACCGAGGGAGGTTAGAGTTAACAGGTGTCATAGAACAAGATGCAAAGGGAGTGGTAATGGCTGCAGAGAAGAGATGCAGGTCAGAATATAGGTCATCTCGCTGAAAACAAAATCATAAAAACTGAAGATTTGGCAGAGGGTTGACTCCAGAAGGTTATAAACTGCCTAAATAGAAAAGGAGCTGCTGTTCCTCCAGCTTGTGTTGGCCTTTATTGGAGCAATAAAGCAAGCTTAGGACAGACATGTGATCACGAGTGAAAATGGCAATTGACAGGAAAGTCAGGGTCATGTTTGTGGACTGATTGGAGGTGTTCCACAAAGCAGACACCCAATCTGTAATTGGTCTCCTTACCAGAGAAGACCATATTGTAAGCAATGAAAATGCTGACAGGGAGGGGAAGGGATGGTGTTTTTGATGGTGGCATCATGTGACAGAAATGGCAGAGGATCCTTTGGATGTGAATGAAGTGAGGTGGGAAATGACAATAAGGGAATCCTAACAGAAGCAATGGAGACGGGGAATCTGGGAGAATGAAATGCAGTCCTCACAGCCTGCTTCCTGTAAGGACATGTCGTTGAAGTCACGTTGTGTGGCTTTGTGATGAATTTCAATAATTCAATTTCAATAGGCTATCCCTGGAAATGGGAAGAAAAGACAAAAAAAAAAGGAAAAGCAATAGTCAGAGATGAACCAAGTGAAGACGAGGGAAGGGTAGAAATTGGTCGCAAAATTGATGACATTTTCTGGTCCCAGGTGAGAGCAGGAAATGGCACTAATGCAATCATTAATATACTGGAAAAAGTGTTGTGGGAGGGGGGTGTGAGTAGAACTGATGCAACAAATATTCCACATACCTTTTATATGGAGGTGAGGCAAGTTAGAAGAGAAATTAGAAAACAAGTTCAGCCAGGCGGAAGAGGGAGGTGCTGGTTGGGAGTTGTTCAGGCCTCCATTCAAGGAAGAAGCAGAGAGCATATCATGAGATTCATAACATTTTATTGGTCTTGCTAAATCTAGCAGTTTGATTTGCTTATTACTAGGTCTGTTGCTGCCATAGTAATGTGCCTGGCAAGATCTTCACTCTGTTTACATAAAGAAGGGACTCGCATTTATCAAATCCTCAGGACATCCATAGCACTTACACTCACTGAAGCACTTGAGAAATATAATCACTCGTAATCTAGGAAAACAACACAACAGCCAGTGGCAAACAGCAGAATACCACAATCAATAATGAAATATAGAAGAAGGTTATCTGTTTCAGTAATGTTGAGAGATGCTATGGATGTGTACACGAAGAGATTCCCATGCTTTTGTTTTCCAATACTGCCACAGAACCTTTCCCATCCACCAGCCCTTCAAGATCCTTGATTTTACAGCTCATTTGAAGGATTGCCCTATGAGTGCAGCACTTCCTCAGTACCAGACTAACATGGCAGCCCAGATTGTGTGCTGAACCATGACTTTCTCTCACAGGCAAGGGTGCTAACATTGAACAAATATTGACACATTGAATCACAAGGTATGACATGACTATTTAATTGTATTATACTTTAACAAAGATAAGATCAATATCTAAAAATCAGAGATTAAGCTGAGAGAGTGTGAAGTCTCCTGTTATTGTGTGCAAGAGTGTAATTAAAGCTCAAAGCTTCAAGCCACTTCTTAGTGGATCTGGATATTAAAGCACAAAATTACAAATTATTTAAAAATTAGAAAGAGACCCTCAGTAGAATAGTTTGAGGTGTTTCTCTGAGGTTCCTGGGCATTTTAATTTGCACTAGATCTGTGCTTTGCAAAACTTAAAAGACATTGTTGTGGAGTGCAGGTTACAGCAGTGATGGTAAGAACTGCCGATGCTGGAGTCAGAGGTAACACAGTGTGGAGCTGGAGGAACACAGCAGGCCAGGCAGCATCAGAGGAACAGGAAAGCTGGCATTTCAGATCGGGACCTTTCTTCAGAAATGGGGGAGCGGAAGGGGGCTCTGAAAAAAATGGTGGGGGCAGTGATAGCAGGTAGATAGTGGAGCGGATAGGTGCGAGAGAAGACAGACAGGTCAAGGAGGCAGGGATGAAGCTAGTAAAGGTGAGTGTAGGTAGGCAGTGGTGGAGATTGGTCAGTGAGGTGGGAGGAGCAGATAGGTGGGAGAGAAGACAAACAAGGTCAATGAGGCGGGGATGAGAGGGGGTGCTGGTCTTGGGATGAGGTCGGGGGTGGGGAGATTTTGAAGCTAGTAAAGTCCACATGGAGACCATTGGGTTGTAGGCTCCCAAGGCAGAATATGAGGTGCTGTTCCTCCAGTTTCTGGGTGGCATCATTGTGACACTGGAGGAGAGCAGTGA